CCAGTAGTTGCGGGTCGTCAGTTCGAGGGTTCGATGCCACCCTGGGTGTCCTACGATAGGGATGTCATGGTGTTGGCGTAGCACCCGATGCCTCAGTCCCATGGCTGGGGGTACGTATACGAGTCCGTTCCTAGTCTTGAAGCCGTCATGCTTTTCCCAGCCTTCCGGTTCTCCTTCTTCCCAGAGTTTGAGGACCTTTTCCTCTGTGGCCGATTCGGCCCGTCGGATCGAGTCCATCAGCCCGTCGCCCTCCGTATGCTCCAGTGTGAGCATAGCGCGGATCGCGTGTTCCTTGAATAGCCCCGCCGGTAGTAGGACGATGTCCTGGTTATCCTCTTTCCCGTTGTCGTACCCGTTTCGTCGGGATAACGCGTCGGCCCGCCCGTTCGTTTTCCCCGGCTTATGCAGCAAGGAGAAGTGATACTCGCTCAGTTCGAGTGACCATCGTGCCTGCCGCCGGTTCAGTTTTTTAGCAGTCATGAAGTACTCCAGGTTCTTGTGGTCGGTCCAGATTTCGAACGGCTTATCTCCCCCGTTCTGGAGATAGTGTCGCCACTCGGTGAGGGCCCGCATGATAGCGAGCATTTCTTTGTCGTGAATGTCGTAGTTGCGCTCGGTGTCGTTCATCGCCCGGGAGAGGAATGCGATCGGTACCCACTTCCCTTCTTGCTCCTGCGAGAGAACGGCCCCGGTGGCGAAGTCGGAAGAGTCCGCTTCGACCCGCCATGCCCCGTGATCCGTAGGGAAGTGTAGAACGGGTTCGTCAGTGACCCGGTCTATCAAGGTCTGGAAGGCCTCCTCCTCTTCCGGTCCCCATTTCCATGGGCTGTCCTTTCGGGTCAATCGAGTCCACGCGACCCTGGGAGATCAGGTTGGAAAACAATTTGTTCATCATGGATTGGAACGTGGCCGGGGAATTGGTGAGGCCGAAAAACATCACGAGTGGCTCGAATAGGCCCCGATTGGTAACGAACGCGGCCTTCTCTTCGTCGCCTTCTTTTATGCGGATGTTGTTGTACCCCCAACGTACGTCGAGCTTGGTGAACCACCGGGCGTTACGTAACTTATGCATGATGTCCGATATGAGTGGTATCGGGTATCGGTTTTTGATAGTAATCTCGTTCAGCTTCTGGTAGTCCTGTACGGGCCGTAATATTTCCCGTCCTTCTTCTTGACGAAGAAGAACGGGGATGCGTATGGGGATTTCGAGGGCCGAATCCGTCCGGTTGCCAAATGTTCCTTGATGAATGCGTCAAGCTCTTTCTGTTCCTCTCCTGATAGGGGAATGCAGCGCCCTTTGACGGGTTCGGCGTCTGGGTGTAGTTCAATGGCATGGTCCCACTTCCTCCGTTCCGGGAGTTTGTCGAAGTCCTGTTTTTCGAAGACCTCTTTGAATTCCTCAAGATAGTGCGCGGGTACGCTCTCCTCGGTGGTTCGGGGCTTCTCGGCAGCGTAGGCGGTGGCGGCCAGTTTGGTGGCCACGCTCTGCATGGCCCGGATGTGGGCGGGCGCGTTCAATCCTTCCGTCGTATATCCGCGTGACGAAGAGGCGATCCCCTTTGCCCAGGGGTTCATTGTCCTCTTTGTCCCATTGTTCCAGCAATCGGGCCCGCTTGCACTCGGGCGGGCATCGGGTGAAGGCGATCGCCCCTTCATGCCAGTCGATCACGGGATTGTGCTTCTTGAGCCAGTGATGCCCGATGATCACGTCACTGTTCCCGGTGTCCGTGATGGCGAACGTCAGAAGTTCGGAGTGATCCTGAATGGTGACTCGTAAGCGGGTAACGTGGGTGATTGCCCCGTCGGCGTTGATCGTCCCGTCGGCGTTGTACACTGGGACTGGGTGCGGCAGGGCTTTGAGTTCCAGTTGCGAGTCCTCCGCGAACCGCTTGTGCATGAACTCGGAGGTGGCGCCACTGTCGAGGAGGGCGTCAACCGAGTACCCGCGGAGGTCGTTGACCCCTTGAAGGGTGACGGCTACCCGCGTAGCCGTGGTGCCTTCACTTTTCCGAAAGGGGGGAGCATTTTGCAGTTGTCGCAAAGCTTCGGCTACGTCGGGGGCGTACCCCGTTCGTATGAACTCTTCTAGTTCGGGCCCGTTCTCGGCTCGTCGGGCCGGATGTATCCACTGTTGTAGTTTCGAACGAGCCTTCTCGGGCTGATCTCGAATTTGCGCGACAAGCCTCTCGGCGCTGGCCGCGGGCCAACTTTTCCAAGCGGGCCTTGGAGTGTCTCGTATGGTTTTATGCGGGTTTTTTCTGCGGGTGGAAACGGTGGGTTGCGGGGTTTGTTGTTTGGGGTTGGTTTCTACGTCTGATCCCACGTATCTCTGGATTGGCAACATGGAATATCGATTATGCGGGTTGTAACTAGAGACACTTGTGGTATACGTCGGCGAGGGCGTAGGCTTCACTCGCGACGATCGCCAAAATCCGCTTTATCCGCGTTATCTTTGACAAACTCGGAGAAGATAGCCCGGATCTGGTTTGCCGATGCGGCCCGGTTCGGGCACATCCGACTGATGTGTCCTTCCTGGCCGCAGTTGTAGCAGCGAGTGCTGCGGGCCGTAGCGGGGGCCTGGGCCCGGTCGATCTCCATAGGCGCGGCCCCGTCGAGGGTCCGGCGACCGTGGTTGCCCCGTTTCCTCGGGGTGCGGCCACGGTCGGTCCAGTGGCGCTGATTGCTGCGTTTCGGGCCCAACCGTTGAACGGGTTGCGGTTGCTGAGCCCGCTCTTGGCAGGGGCGGGCGCCGTCGGGGGCGTTTTGGCCCGAGGGTGGTTAACCTTGTGGCTTTCGTCGAAAATGCGGTAGCGGCGGAGTGCGCCGTCTTGCTTGATGGCCTCTGCCTTCCAGGCCTCGTAGGTGTCAGGGAGCGTGTCCTTTCGGTAGACCGCATTCGTAACGCCCCGGAGCATACAGTTCTTGGCGACGCGAATAAGGTTAACGTCGTCGTAGTGCGCGACTTTGTTGAGAGAGTCGAGGACCGTGAAATAACTAGTCGCGTCCATGTCTTTGGTCTGGACGAAGGTTTCCCGGCCAGGATAGGCACTCAGTTTTGCTAGCAAAACCTGGGCTACTGGTGAAGGGTGTTACTAGCAAAACCTGGGGAAGGTCACCCCAGTCACGACTGAGTGCTGTGACAAGAAATGTGACATCCAATCAAATGTGAATATCTCAATGAGTTTGATAGCTATGACTAAGCTATTACCAGATATGGAAAGGCAAATCACTATTTTTTCAGGCCGAAGACCCGTATAAACATCTGGGTGGCTTTGTAAGCCAGGGCAAAGGTATACATCCTAATTGGGCCAAAATTGATGTATCTTGACACAGCCATCAAAAGTACTGATGTCAATCAAAAATCGTTCCACATTGATCACTTTATCTTAATGGCATCAATTCCACCATCACTACCATGATCTAACACCCAAATATGAATAAAATGAATTTTCAAAAAGTGTGACATTTGTGACCCTTGGGCAGTTGCCCAGGTTTTGTGAGTAACACCCTTCACCAGTAGCCCAGGTTTTGCTAGCAAATCTGAGTGAATGAGCTGGGAAGGCCGCGATGAAGGCTTTCTCGAAGCCTTCGTACACGTAGTATAGGCTGCAGCGGTACGGAGCTTCATGGCTTGGGAGACGTTTTCTTTCCACGTGACCGCGTTCCCGCCTTTGATATAGGAGAGTGCGTACGAAATCTTTCGCACCTCGTCGTTGTAAACATTCGGGTTGGCTTCGAAGGCCAACCAACAATCGGCCAGGAAGGCGTCTACTTCGCTGGCGTCGCCCGTGAACTCCTTAGGGGGAGAGACGGTCACTCGTGTATTTCCCCCGTGGGGCCGATGAGCCAAGTCCTCTCTGGCTTGGCGGAGCAGATCGTAGCTCTGCATGACTCCCTGCTGTACAGCTGCGTATTCCCCGTTTACTCGGGACAGCTCGGCCTCGAGGACCACTTGTCGATTCGTCAGGGCGGTGTTTTCCGCCTTGAGTTGCTCCATCTCCTGACTCGTTCGGAACAGATGGGCGAACAGGAACTCCTGTTGTTCGTTATGGCCCAGGGCCATGAATCGGGCACGTTCGTCCCCCTGGCTTGCGGGGGTGCCCATCGTACTGTCGTGCTCGGTAGACATTCGTCGCGCTTCTTGCGTTCGTGGGGGAGGCTAATATTCTGTCAACGTCGGGCTCGGGCCGTATCGGGGCGTCGGGGGGACCGACTTAGAAGGGGTCTGGGAGCACAAGAGATGGGTATTCGCCCGGAGAATAGACGATATTAGCCTAGCGACTACATCTTGTAAGTACGGTTTTTATATGCTACGATATTAGGGATGGATCGGATGGGCGCCAGGTCCCAGGGCGGATCGGATGGGCGCTGCGTAGGGCCGCAGGGGTGAAGGGAAGGGGTTGAAGGAATGGGGAATTGTCGAAGGGGCGGCGGTATGCGGGCCCGTGCGGGCCTTATGGCCCGGACGGCCCGACCCGAACCGTGACATCAGGGCCCGGCGGGCCAGCGGGTTCAAGGCACCAGGCCCATACCCGTACCCGCACTGGCCCATCTTCTTGTCCTTGGGTCATGCCACCTGTGACAAACACTACATGTCATTTGTTATTTTTCTGTTTCCCTTGAGTTCTATTCCTGTAATATTTCAATTAAACATTTGTACAGGTTCAAAATTGCTTTTCATTGAATGAAGATTTTTGGTCCCAAATTTTGAAAGAAAAATGAAGGTCACTTTGTGTGCTTACGTAATCAGATATCTACTCATTTATTTATCCATTGTTCATTTACTGTGCATACTACAATTGGATCAATGGTTCAATTCAATATTTTACAAATATATATATATATATATTATAAGCTTACGTGCATGTATGTAATGCCTTGCCTTCAGTTTCACTGACAGATTGTGTAATCTCATCTTTTCGTAGTCGGTGCAAAAGAGCACTGGGCTCGGATGCTTCCCCAGAGCGGTACTGTCTGCCACCCCAGTATCAGTCCATGGTCTAGCTTGCGATGTGGCATTTGCGCGCAAAAAATTGACGGGTAGTATCTGCCTCCTTGCGCACCACCGATAGAAGACTCGCTGATGTGGAGCCCCCGACAACGATACATATCGGCTCGCCTCCCACTGTAGATGCGGCGGAGGTAAGCGCGTATGGCGGCAGCAGAACGCGCAGAATGTGTCGTTGTGCAAGAGCTAGCTGGTGCGATACTTACATGAGTTGAATTCAGTGAAACGGCTGGATGGACTCACTTTGGCGCTGCAAGACGAGGGCGTCGTTCCGCTTGCAATTCCCGAGGGATGGGCGGGCGTATGATCGCTGTCCGGGGGCCGGTTTGCACGCTGAACGGCCACGATGCGGGCCGGAACGCCCCCGGCCTCGTTAAACAGCGGGAGGGACGCGCAAACCCAGGCGCTGCTTTGCAGTTTCGTTTGGAATTCATGGGGATTACCACTCGAATGAGGACTCGGCCCGCCAGGCTCGAGTTTTGCGCAACGGAGATCGGCGAGCGCAGGGCCAGCCGTTGACCCGTTCGCTTCTAAACTTTGGAGAGTTGGAGAAAAGCAAGTTGACGCTGCCTGCGCTGAAGATTTGAGCCAGAACGAGCAAGAAGTGAGCTCGGCGCTCACCGATCTTGTGCACGACGCGGTCAACAGCGAGCGCGGACTACTAGTAGTACACAGCCCGCCAAGACGGCTCGAGAGCATCTAGAATGTGTGAATTGAGCCTCACCGACCTTGTGCAATTGAACACACACTGTCAACAGCGAGCGCAGACCGCCGAAACGCGTCGAAACATGTGTCCCAGGCACATGTACGCCACACCTCGGGACCAATCGTGGCCGAAACTGCCAAGATTGGGCCGGTGTCGCGCCTGGTGCCGACCCAGATCTAACCGATAGATCGCCGCGCAAGGCCACTGGCACACGAAGGGCAACCGCCAATCCACCGTCGCGATGGTGGGCGGGGGCGGAAGTGGCGCCCACAAGTGCGCCAGTTGTGAGTTTGTCTTCCTCGTTATCGCGTTGCTGACCAGAGTTGGCGTTAGAGTGCCTTGAGTAAACCGGGGCCGTATGGAGAGCAGCGGAAGCAAGAGGAAGTCGCCCGGACAAGTCCAGTTGGAAAGCCAGGGCCGTTGGCCACAAAGCTTGAGGGCAGCGGGAGGGGGAACGGCATCGGTAGGAGGGGCCCCAGTTGCCGTCTGGGATGGCTTTGCCGTTGAGTGCGGCTGTCTTGAGGAATTTGGACGGCGGAGGTGGTGGTGGTTGATAAAAAAGAAGCAGTGATAGGAATCCGGCATGCGGCGCCGAGGGCCGAGCCTCAGGAAGCTTTTCTTGGACTTTACCACCACACAACGCCGCGCGAACGCGTTTCTTTCCGCCTTCCGATGGTAGCTGCATATGCGGTACTGGGCTGGAGGAGAGGGAGCGGGGCAGCCAGAATCGTGGGTGCGGTCCTGGGTGCGTCGTGCTTGTTTACACTTTCTAAACAAGTCTCACGTCCTGCAGCCATCCTCGTTGTCCTCCTGCTCTTTGCCTGCCTCTGCGTCACGCGCCGTCGGCGTGCGTGCGCGCCGCCTTAACAACGCTGGCGGCAGATGGACAACAGCACCGGGGGCAACCGGGCGGGCCGCCGCCGTATTCGCCCGACGCAAACGTAGCCAGGCCGTGGAGTCGGCGTGGACAGTCCGGTGCGTGTACATTCCCGTCGATAGACGTGCCGCCGAATCCACGCGCTCGCAGCCGAGCGCAGCATCTGGCTGGACGCCATAGCGCACCGCAGCACCAACCGGTGACGTCGTTCCAAGACGACCTGACCACCCAAGACCTCCAATTCCTCGTCCGCCGCGCCACTCTCCCCGCCCGTGCCTCGCGGAGATCGCCGCGTTCAATTTGGAGCGCTTTTCGGAGGCGGTGTTCATCCCGGGCACGGGGCTGCTTCTGACGAGCGGCTTTCAGCAGCTGGCGGTATGGGACGTGTTTGCGCGCCGTTGCGTCGCAGTGGTAGATCTTGAGAAAGGAGAGCCGCAGGGCACCCAGCTCACAGTATTCGTCGCGCCGTGCGTGTGGGTCGGCGCACGTGCGTTGTTCTCTGGAGGCTTTTTTTTTTTTTTTTTTTTTTTTGTATCCAGTTTATTTGGCCTTCGCCCTCGGGCATGGTAGCCATCGTCGTACACAACAAATGTATCTATCCTCGCCATCGCATATCCATCTTTTCCTTCGGAATCATGCCCTCGGCCCAACATTTGGTCTGTCGGGCGGGCGCGAGGCTCCAGAGCGCGAATAAGTGTGCTGTGGGTATGTAAGGTATGGTAGGTGTAAGTAGCCGTCTTCTGCGGCAGTGCTGTATATTAGTTGTTCATGGTAACGAAGAGGGGGAAGAGAAAAATGAAGGTGGTATAGTAGTCAGCCTACCGTGCTCCAGGGGAGGACATTCTGGGTCGTGTCATGCTCGATTTCGGGACTCTGCTTTTGCACGTTCTTTTGCTAAGACATCTAGGTCGGCGATGTTGCCGTGGACAGGTCGAAACCTCCCCGTGGCTGCTATGAACCTGAAGAGGTGGGGGTAGAGCTTCGGAGTGCCGAGCAGTTTTCGTATTCCTCTCGTGAGTGGTCCCCCTGCTCGTTGTAAGCGGCTGCGTGGTTCGTCGTGTGCACTGCAGTGCAGGAGGTAGTGTGCGACGGACTCGTCTGCTTGCCTACAGCATGGGCATATGGGTGAGTCGGCCCGATTGATTCGATGGAGGTGTTTCGCGAGTGTGCAGTGGCCCGTTTGGAGCTGTAGAAGGATGGTCGCGTGGCTTCTCGGCATGCTTGCGGTAGTTTGTTTTATGAACGCGCCTCGGTCGAGTTTGTGGTCGTATTGCATGGTCCTCTGGTACCGGGCGGACTCTCTCCAGAGCTTATCGGCCTTCTCGCGCAACTCCTTGTTAATGTCCTGCCGCACTGCCGACTTGCTGACTGGCAATTCCGCTCTGAGGTCCAACGGTAAGCAATCCTTGGGTGATGCAGATGTCGTCGCTGCGCGCTTCGCCTCTTGGTCGGCGCGTTCATTCCCCAGAATGTCCTTGTGACCCGGAGCCCAGCGGACTGTTATAGCTATGTCAGTATTGTATTTTAGCAAGTCGCTGCACGCTCTGTGCCATGTGTCCCATATCCAATGCGATGGCGAGGGTTTCGTGAGTTTGACGGCTCTGACGGCCGCTTGGCTGTCGACGACCAAAGTTACTCTGCCACTTACTGCCGGTTCGTCCCTCAACAATTTTATCGCCAAGTTGCACCCAATTCCTTCTCCCTCGTAGACTGTGTGTTCGGTGTTGTGTCCTAGTCGTAGTCGTAGGCTTGCTGATTCGTGGCCGTTACGGAAAAGCACTGCCGCTGCTCCAATTCTCCCCTCTATGCCCGACCCGTCTGAGTACACGACCCACTCCGCCTTCTCCGCCTTCTCTACGTCGATTGCCTCTTCCTTGGAGTTCGGGATGATGATCCCGACATTTCTTGTCATTTTCGGGAGGACGCGGACGGGTTGGATTGTTTCGAGTTCGTCAGGGTGGTACGGAAGTTCTTTCATCAACTCCTCGACTGAGGTCGGGAACTTTCGCTTTCTCCTCCTCCTTCGATTGATTTCCTCGTGTAGTGGGTGTGTTTCCGGGAGAGTGGCCAGCCGTAAAGCCGCCATGCTTCGCTTTTTCTCAATGAGCTGCTGTACTGGGAGGAGGTTAGCGTAGACGTCAAGAATTTCAGTGGCGCCCGTTATCGCCCTTGCAGCTTTACGCTGGACGGTGCGCATACTTCTAATCGCCGCATTCTCTGTTTTCGTGCTTACCCCCTTGAGCCGCTTCCTTGTTTGCGTTAAGAAGACATCCGCTCCATAGAGCATTTTGGGGACGCATATCCCCAGGTACAGCCGCCTTACCTCAGTGGCGCTCAGTCCCCTGCTCGCTCTACCTAGGCAACTGCACGGGTAAACCCATGGGTATCCGAGGCGTTACTCATACCCTTACCCGCACAGCCACCACACCCGTACCCGCGGGTACGGGTACGGGTTTACTCATGGGTCACCTCACCGGTCACTGATGAAGATGTGTCAGAGGTACAAGGTGAGTCAAAGCCGTAATATGTGATAAAAAGCAGAATTACAGCGCAAGTCGAACCGAGGACCTCAGCGGCAATCTCCAGGAGTAGAGCCAGCTGAGTCATTAGGCTACGGGTATCGTACTCGCTGACCCGTACCCGTACCCGTACCCCCGCGGGTAAAACCCGCCTACCCGCGCGGGTTTGGCCTACCCGTGCAGTTGCCTAGCTCTACCCAGTCTCGCGAATATCTCCAGCCACGTGTTCCCCTTCCTCACCATCGCCGCGCCCTGTTGTTTCCACCGTAGTTCCTTGTCGATAAGTAGGCCTAACATCTTGACGTGGTCGACCGATTTTATGGTGTGATTTCCAAGCTTGAGGTCTGGGCAGTGCTCCGGTTGCCTCTTGCGGAGCATGAATGGGTGCGGGCCCCTCCTTCTCGTTGCATCGAGCAGTTGATACTTGGCTGGCCCAAAGAGCGCGTTGTGGTCGTCCGCCCAGTCGTTAACCCCTTCCGTTCTCTCGATGATATTACGGAGCTTGCTGTGGTTCTCTTTGATCGTGTCGCTCGTCGTTACCAGTGTCGCATCGTCCACAAATACGACCGTGTCCTCCCCTCGATCCTGCCTTGTGATGTCCGCGAGCCCCGCGTTGTAAAGCAGGTAAGCAATGCCTGAGTGCGGGTCGCCTTGATCAAGTCCTCCTTCAACGCGGAAGGGTTCGGAGGTGTAGTCGCCAAAGGCTATCCGATTGGTCCGGTTGGCGTAGCATCTAGTCATCCAGTCAGTGTGCTTTTTTGGTACCCCTCGCATTCTCATGTCATGTGTTAGTCTGTTCAGGTTGACACTGGGGAAGGCGCCTTTGACGTCCATACACAGCACGCTCGCCACCTTACCTTTCCGCCACGCATCCTGAATTATCTTCACGATCATGTGGAGGGCGTCCGTTGTCGAGCGCCCCGGCCTCGCACCATACTGATTTGGCGGTAGAATCCCTGCCATTTCGGCTTCCGTTACGAGTTGCTGTGTCTTGCACGCGTTCAACAAGCGCGCGAATCCTTTGGAGAGCACGATTGGGCGGTAGGCGCCAGGGTCCATATAGTTAGGCTTGCCTGGTTTTTTCAGGACGATCGTCTTGATCTCGGCCCACCAGTCCGGGTAGTGGGCCAGGTTGTCGAGTGAGCGGAAAATTGGGCCGAGGTATTTGACGAGGATGTGAGCCGTCTTGATCATTACGCAGTTTGGTGGTGAGCCCGGGAATGTTGCCTTGTACATTTTGAAGTGAGCGATGGCCTGTAGTATCAGTTCATCCGTTATTGGTTTCCAAACCCATTCCTCTTCCGGGTATTCCTGGTCGTCCGGTATCTGCAGTCCATTCGCTACCGCTGGGTAGAATTCGCTCCGGAGCATGTCCGCCTTTGCTGCGTTGTCCGCGGCTGTTTGTGTGACCCTCCTGGAGACAGGATCCCGCCCGTTCAAGGGTGGGTATGGTCGTTGCTGCGCCGTCAGAGGGTTCAGCCGAGACGAACTTGGCCACAGTCCAGGCGTCGTTGCCCGTTGCCTTGTTCAGCCATTTCTCCCAGTGTCTCTTTTTCGCCGCTTCTATTGCTTGGTGATAACGTTTCCGCGCCTCTTTTGTTTGCTGGTGAATTGGGTGGTCAGGTGCTGTCCGGAGGTGGTAGGCGTCTCTTTGGAGTTTGGCGCACTCTTTTCTCTGTTTAGTCAGCTTCTCATTAAACCATCTTTTACAGTATGGAGTCGGGTCTGAAAACTTAACCGTTTGCTGTATGGTGTCCTCCACTGCCGTTTCGAGTCGTTTGATCGCATGTTCGACAGCAGGGATTGTGTCGTACGCCGCAACCACCTCCAAGTCTTGCAATTTGGTTTCCAGTGTCTTGGCGAATTCCCCCCAGTCCGCCTTTCGGTACATCGGTACTGGTGTATAGGGTGTTGTCCTGTAGCCCAGGTCGAGCACTTGCACTACTGGGAAATGATCAGCCTTGACCGGTCGCATCTCCGGCCTCGTATTGCACTCGATGTACAAGGGTGCCAGGTCCTCCGAGCAGAAGACGTTGTCGGGCCGCGTCAAGTTGCCTGTCGATTTCGCCTCCAGCGTTGGGATGTCTTTCGGTAGGATCATCTTCATGTGGAAGCTGCCTAGCATGTTGAGGAGGGGTTGGACTAGTCTTGCTGCTTGCGCCGTGAATAAGTGGAAGTTCCTCTCCTCGTCCCAGTCTGGATGGTGCCGGTTAAAATCTCCCGCCCAGATGTACCTTAGCGGTAGTATCGTTGCCGTTCTTCCTGCTGGGCTTGCTTGGTATGCCTTTA